TTACCAAATGATTACATTTGATTGCACAGATGTTATTCACCTGCATTATTTTTGCCTTCATCAGGAGAAGTTTAAGTGCTACCAGTGCAGCTTTTGAGTGAGTCTCGTTTTCGTGCTTACTTGGTCACGTGACCCCAATAACCTCTTAAAATCGTATGTTCATATTGGAAACATTGATTTGCACAAATGTGGTGATTTTGATAAAGTTTTACGGAAATAGTGGAAAGCTGTGGACAATTTTATGTTTGAGCCTCGTTTCCATGCTGTGATATACACATGACATTTTCAACCCCATATAAATCCCGTCTGAACAAGTTACAAAGTTGCCAACCAAAAGTTTTCATGTTATTCAGGGTCCCCTTAACACATTTAGACTAGTGGCTTGCTTTCTTCACGAAATTCCCACGGGGCTCTATTTCATGACATTTGCTGCCGGACTAATTAATCCAGATTTGGACTGAACTGTATATTCAGAGGCCGATATCTTTTCAGATTAACTACTTTTAATAACATTTATATGTTAACAATTTTTGAAATAATTGGTTTAGCTATGGTAATAAATCTTAATATTATACTGTAATAACTAATTTTCACGTAAAAGTATTCCCGATTAGTGGGCCTCCTTAGGCATGCTTGAAGACCTAATTACACTTAATTAAAGTTGTATGTATGTTGTGTGTGTGTATGTAAGTATGTATGTATGTATGTATGTATGTATGTATGTACGCTCTAAAAAGCGGAAAAACCGATACCATCTTTGTTGCTTAGAGAAAAATTCGTATACGGCGCGTAATTGTTCATACAACATTTTTCACTTGTGAGAAAAACCGTTTGACACCAGTCAGGTTGTTTTTGCTTTGTTTAGAGTCAATCTCGGTACTTTTGAAATAAAATAATGTAATGACCTCTGAGTTTATTTCTAAATTATGAAGTTTTCTATTTTTTTTTTCAATGTCTTACTAACGCTTCACCTGAATTAGAAAAATGCTAAACGATTTTATCCACGTGATATACCTTTTTATCACCAGTTAGATGATAATATTGTAGTAATCCCCTGTATATACTTACTGCCTTTGTGGCACTGCAAATGAAGAACAAATGAAAGGTAAACAGGAGAAATTTAAAAAAAGACACTCTGATGGTGATAGTACCGTACCGTGATATGATCCGAGAAAGGGTTAACCCTTTAAGTCCCAATATCCACATACAAATTCTCCAAACGGATCTCTATATATTTCCTTAAAGAATGAGTTCAGAGAATTTGATAAAAGATCAAACATTTTCTCTTAGCTGATCATTTTATTAATTCTCATAACCTAATCTCTTGACAATGAATGTCTATCGTTATGAGAAAATTGATGTTGGTCACTATTGGGACTTAAAGGTTTAAAAACATAGTAAGGTACCTTCAAACTTTGTTTCAAAACATTCTGCAATATTATTTTACTTCTTTAGCACTTCGGGTATTTTACCTTTAATTGTTAAATCAGTTCTTTCAAGGTTTTTTGTGAAAACAGATAGTTTTTTTTAATCATTATCACCATTGTACTGTTCTCGTGCAAGTAGCCGCCTTCAGGTCTTTCCTCTGTGATGAAAGGTTAATATAAATTGAATCTATAAAGGCCAAGTTTTAATTTGAGCGAGTGTTTATTTTGTTTCAGTGCAATATCTGGTGTATCTTTACCACTTTGTAAAAGAATGGCGCAAGCATCCAAAGTGGTCATTCTCCTGCTGCCTGGCCTTGCTATTGCCACTTAATCAACTACAAGGAGAGATACGCGGATTAACAGGGAAAAACATACTAAATCAGCAACTGCAAACTGGTGACATCGAGTTGCCAACCATTGCAAGTACTTTGAGGGAGAGTGGGGCAGTTGATGTTACTCTTGAAGACCATAGTGCAGAACGAGAACAGGAGGCAACAACTGACGAGAAAACCATTGAACACGGCGTTTTGACAGTTGCAAAGGTGATCTGTGCTAGTGCTTTAAGGGAGAGTGGGGCATTTGATGTTACTCTTGAAGATCACAATGCAGAACGTGAACAAGAGGACACAACAACTGACGAGAAAACCATTGAACAGGGCGTTTTGACAACTGCAAAGGTGATCTGTGCTAGTACTTTAGGGGAGAGTGGGGCATTTGATGTTACTCTTGAAGATCATGATGAAGAAAGTGAAAAAGAGGACACAACAACTGACGAGGAAAGCATTGAACAGGGCGTTCAGACAATTGTAGAGGTGGTTATTCATGAGCCTCCAAGAGAAACTTACGAAACCAAACTGTAATTAGGGCCAGTTATTTAAACGGAGTTTAGCTGGTGTAAAACCGTGTTCTCATCAATTTTCAGTTTGCTCAACGCTTTTTTCTTAACTCTTTTTATCGTGAAAGGTTTCATGAAAGCATGATCATGAGGTGTGTACTGGAAAAGCACTTATTCTCTTAAAATAACCCACAGAGGAAGATATCTGCTTGGAGGAACAAAGCTTTGCTAAACCGCGGCCTAAATTAGACTCCGTTTACTGAATAACCGACCCTAAGTATATAAAAGTGTCTGACGAGTTAAAAATGAAGTTCCACGACGTCTTCTTTCTCCATAAAGAAGGATGAAAATAGATTATCTAGCGTTAGGTAAAGTAAGGTATAGAATCATGAATTAGTATAGGTAATAGCATGATTTGTATAGTGATATTTGGTATAAATACCACGAGTGATATTTCGAAATTCTTATACGAAATTTCACGAGCCGTTAGGCGAGTGAAATTTGAAACAATTTTGAAATATCACGAGTGTTATTCATGCCAAATAGCACGTTCAAATAATGCTATTATTTGTTCATACTACTACCCGCAAAAGGTTTGTAATTTTCACATGTAGGTATTTCACATTAAGCTGAAATACCACTGCTCTAAGCCCATCAAATTGTAGAAATTTCTCATGTATTAGTATAAGGATTGAAATCATTCCCTCGTTTGAGTCAGTAAATGTTATGAGTAAAGATATTTCCTCTTACTGACAGCAACCTTGGCTCTAAGTTACAAATAATCCAAGTTGTTCAAGATATTTAACAGTATAATTTATTGATAATGGTAAGGGGTCTTAACTAACTATAATTTAACCTACACAATCAAACCTCCCGTAAGTGACCCCCTAAATTGCGAAGAATAAGTATTCGCTTCCATGATGTGGTCAGTTATGAGAGTCAAAGGAGGTCTTTTGACAGGACTGAGAAGTTCGGATACATCTAAGTTTTTGGAAGAATACATTGCACTGCATTCTAAGGTTACAGTATATGTAAATCCATGTTGTTTTTTTTCTCTAAAACTTATGCTCACATTCTGAGTAGCGCAGTACCATACATACAGGGAACACAAAGATCAGACCATTGTACCAGGTAGCAGTTGCTTAAACAGGGTAAAGAACAGTGGAAAATTCTTAAATTGTCATGCTAAAAAGTGATTGCGTTCGATTACGAAAAATTCTAAAAGGCAGTGAATGGGAAAATTTTGGTGTTTCGGATAAGTGGTTGTTTATGGGAGCTGGTCGCTTGCGAATGTGGTCGCACATACAGGTTGGACTGTACTAATAGTTTTCGTTGATCAGTTCAAATGAAATTAGGTGGTTTTAAGCTTAGTGAGATGAGTGTAGATACATAAAATTTGAGACTTACGGACTTAAGTGTAGTCCTGTTCTACAGAGCGACACTCGAAACACCTGAATCTTAATTTGAGAATTTTCCTGCAAAACGTACCTCATAGCAGAGGACAAATCACTTTAGGTTCGCACAATGCAGCAACGACAATATAATGGCTGTCCGTCTCAAACCAAGTGTGATACTTCATCTTAAATTTTCTGGAATCTCTCAGATAGAGTAGATCGATCCAACTGCTATTCTATTTTTATTTTAATTTTTATTTTCAGCTATTCACTAAAAGTTCACTTTAAAGTTATTTTCTTTACCTTCCTAACTTAAGCTAACTGGAAACATACGAGCAGAGATTTTTCTTTTTTGCAAAACTGAGTTTTTCTTCTCCGATCGAAATGTCAAACAAAGTGGCAATGCCATGGTGGAAATTTTAGTGAAGTTTCCAAACGTCAAATAGATTGACAAAACAGTGAATAGAGAAATGACAACCGATCACCTTTTAAGTACCCGCTTTCTTAGCTTCTTAGCTTAACTTGTTTACAACTGAATTTATAATTCTTCAAATGCATAAGTTGATTCACTAACGTCTTTTGCTTAAGGAGAATTTGTCGGGGTCTTTCGTTTAGGACTTCTCAAACTAGAGTCGTAAACCTGTATCCAACGTTCAATGGACCGACAATAGACCCTAGATTAATTCCTTTTATTTTCCAGAATTCCTTTTCACTAATAGTAATCTTATTTTAACTGGATATTGAACTGAAATCGTTGTGCTTACCTCAAGGAAGTGTTTTTTGTTTGTTTGTTTGTTTTTTTTGTTTGTTTGTTTATAACCAGAAACTATCAGTTGTTTCATTATACATGCCAACCATAAACACCCGTTGTAGGATTGTAGCCTTGAGTGTTGTAGTTAACTTTATGATTGTGGAAGTTTTAAATGGCAAAGAACTTCCAAACAATTGAGTTTGCAAGGAAACACAGTTTAATTCAAAAGACGGGTGAAGCAAATGTTACTACTCTTGTGCTTTTCCCGTCAGGATTTTTAATAATTCAGTATTACTTCCTGGGAAAGATTTGCACATAGGGAAAGTAAAATTGCTTAGTTATAAAGAGTATTTATTTGTAGGACGTACGATTTTCTCAGGTTGGTCGAGAACTAATTATATGCTTGACAACTTTAAACATTACTATATTTACATTAATTTTATGTCTATTTTATCGCCTAGTATAAGTAGCTTAAGCTTGTTGCGCTAAAACCTGTAACAATGTCATTCAGGTCTTTCTGGTAGAATTTTTTTAGAGGCAAGCATGATCGCCAAGCATGGATAGCATGTAACCGCGTTTAACTTACTGACGTAAGATAAGAACATCAATTTTTTTTTTTCATGCTACGATCGTTGGGCTTGACAACACATTTCATAAGGTTCTAGCGCGACAAATAAACAGCACTTTTAATCTGCAATAATCTATATTTCATTGCAGTATAAATTCAAGTGCTAAGCTGGTATAGGATATAGTATATAATTTATGGAAACATTTATCAAGTTTTTCATGGGTCTGGGAAAACCAAAAGACGATATTAATAATGTGGCACTGTTTGGATTTGGTCATCTTTCCGGTATCATTTTACTCCTGGCAATTGTAGTTAATAAAACAAGCAGGAGGCTGGTGAATGAGTTATTGCTTGCTCGTGATATCATCGGGTCTCAGAGGAAAATGATCTATTCGTTGTGATGTAAGAATGAGGCAAATCTTATCCACCCTTTAGGCCTGAACGGTGCCACCGTAAACTTGGTTTGACCTGAGCCATTTTGCTCTTACATTTTAGCTTTGCAGCTTTTCAGTCTTGCACTGGAACCAAAAACCCCAAAAAACGTTAAAATTAATAAAAATGCATCGGTCAAGTAACGTCATTTATATAAAAAAACTGCATGATTATTGTTGTAGAGTTGTACCTTTGAGAAATATAATTTAATACGCTTGTAGTTTAAATGACGTGCAAATCTCAGGCAAACATGTTTGGCAAGGAAGCACAGTTCGGCTTTTAAAGAGAAAAATACAAGTTTACCAGTCATGTTTACAGAAATACGTCCCCTAGCTACCTCATAACCAGACCAAAACAAAAAAAGAGGCCTGTCTAGATCTATTTTAAAAAAAGCAAATAGAGTCGTAAGAGCTAAAACACGGCATTCCAGATGATCACAAGAACAGTTACCTGCCCAACAGGAATAGATTCAAGGATTTTGAGGTATTAGGTAAAACTGGAATAAAACTGTGTTTTAACTCGGCAGTATCTTTTTTTTGGTCGTTTGGTTTTTTCAGATAAAGTGTGAGGACATGGACGCGTCCTTTCGGTTTTCTTTGCCACAGGGATACAAATACAAGAGCTTCCTATGATCGGCCACAAAATGAACATGTTTACCAGAGAAGGCTTTTTTCACATGCAAAAGGATTTTGCCTTTTACCAGTTATAAAGATGGAAATATGTAAACAAAGGTTAGATACAAACAACAGTGTTATATGTGAGCTGGTTTCTATTTGCTGTGAATCAGATAACATCAATAAAGCCTATGACCTGCACTAAATGTCTTCGACGTGTACAATATGCATGGAAAACAATTTCCTTGCACAATACTTACCTATTGTGGTCTACACTCCAATATTGCTGGAGAATCATTGTTTATCAGTATACATGTAGTTGAGCCATTTTCTTAGTTCGTGCTTGCGCTGTGATTGGTCAATTTAGCGGGCCCCAATTTACTGTAATTGCCGCACCGAATTCAATTAACCCACATAAGTACTTCAATAAGAGGCAGTGGATGTTCCGTATTTTCTTCATTAATCTTCATTAATGGTATCGAATCAATCTTTTCAGACCTCTTGATAATAAACCATGAGAATGACTTACAACATTCTCTATTTAGCAAACTGTTTTTGTAAGCACCAGACAATTGACACTTTATCTACAAGGCTCATGTCCAAGTCTCTGAGTTATTTCAAGGCTGTAACATTTTGCTTGTTACATTTCGCGTTAAAAATATTGTTTCATTTTGCGTCAAAAAGTTGTTACATTTCGCGATAAAAAGTTGTTACATTTTGCGTCAAAAGTTGTTTCATTTCGGGTTAATGTTACATTTCGCGTCAAAAGTTGTTACATTTCGCGTTAATGTTACATTTTGCGTCAATTGTTACATTTTGCGGCGTAACACTCGTCTTTAAGGCACTGGAATCCTCTTTTTTTTTTTCGTTTTTTTTTTGTCTTTTGTGTGCACAGTTCAGAAAAGACAATCAGTTTAATGACCACCCAACAGTTCAATATTACCACGCCAGTAGTTCAATGACCACACAAGCAGTTTAATGACCACTATAATTATATGCTGAAAGTAGTGCAAAAATTTAGCGGGCACTGATACTCGCATTCCACTCTACGTACATTAAGAAAAATATGGCGCGTTATCAGTGTCAAAATTATGTTTGTCTCAATGTTTTGAATTTTATACTGGTATTAAAGTGTCTGTCGTGACATTAATGCGTTGGCATGTGGAGCTCAAACGTGGCATTACGGAATACGTCTTGACATTATGATGTTGATAGCGGAGCTCTCGCGCGCGAAGGGCGCCTGCGGAGCACCATGGGTAAGAAAAT